TGCTTATAATAGCTCTTTGCCTATGCTAATGGGAGCTAGTTCCTGATCACAATTGTTATACAATCTGAAGCTTGCAACATAAATCATATCTCTAATTAATAAGTTACATTATGAGCAATTTGAGTTTTGAAAATTTCTTTGAATTTTATTATAAGACATATTTCTGGAAATGCCTAGCAGACAGCTAAATGTAGGAAAGTAGAGCATAAGAAAGAAGTTGGAGCTAGCAAGCCTAATAAAGAAGGATCTCGGTCCCACGAAAACTAAAAAAGACCCTTCAGATATGAAGACATTTATAAATTCCTCAGTGGAAATTGCAGTTTCCAAAAAATATGAAGAGACCAAGTAGATATTTGCCAAGACTAAGGTCAAGTTGCAGAGACTACCTTCTCTGAAGGCAGAGTGTCCTTTTAGATGGAACCCATCTGGGTCTGCACCCTAATTTGTCAACCTTTCATTCTTGACATTCAACTGATTATCAACACATTCCCCTGACTTTTATAAGCTTTATGTCTCCTAGATTTAAAGCCAAATATCCCAGAGGTTGGTTGTACTTTAGCTTTTTATCATTGTTGTAATATAAATAAGCATCCTATATGAAAATGGGCAGAAAAACCTACCTTTTCAGAGAATATATGTGATGTAGCATCTTGGTAAGGGCCCACAAGCATTTGTAGGGGAAGATACAGGAGAAAATCAGGGCAAGAATAGTGGTGTTTTTTTGTTTTTTTTTTTTTTAAAGATTTTACTTATTTATTTGACAGAGATCACAAGTAGGCAGAGAGGCAGGCAGAGAGAGAGAGGGAAGCAGGCTCCCCACGGAGCAGAGAGCCCAATGTGGGACCCTGGGACCCTAGAATCATGATCCAAGCTGAAGGCAGAGGCTTTAACCCACTGAGTCACCCAAGTGCCCCAAGGTGGTTTTGTTTACCACCACAAAACCAGCACATAGCACAGAAGCCAGAACATTAGAGGTCTGGTTTGGGGAAAGAAGGGAGGGAGGGAAGAAGGGAGTGAGGGAAGGAGAGGTTTGGTTCTGAACTGATATGATAATGTTCCAGAAACAATGGTCCAGGAACTTTTTAATGTCTGAAATTCAATTTTAAGTTGTTTCTCTCACTAGAATTTAATGCCATCTAGGTCCCAAACTTTCTGTAAAGCCTGTTAGACACACAGATGCTTTGTGTAAATGGGTTTTGCGGACATCGAGAGAAGGAAGCAGTACTGTCTAAATCATTATAGTCTGAACAGAAACAGACTATGGAATAGGAAGAGGATCCATAAAATGAGCTCATTATCTAAAGTACAAGTTCAGAGCCAGAGGGATAAGGAAAGAAAACAGTAAGGAACGTCCTCCCAGCCTCTCTCGACTCAGGTCCCTCAGAGATGCCAGGAGTAGCCAAGACTTCCACTGAAGAGGAGAAGAAGTTGAGAACGCCAGGTTCACTTTATTTTTTTTTTTTCTTTCCTTTTCTTATTTATTTATTTAATCTTAATTTAATTTTATTTTTTTCAGCGCTCCAAGATTCATTGTTTATGTACCACACCACTTTATTTTATTTATTTATTTATTTATTTATTTGAGAGAAAGAGAGAGCATGAGCAGGAGGAGGGTCAGGCAGAGGGACAAGCAGGCTCCCCACTGAGCAGGGAGCCCGACACACAGGACACCAGGGCTCAATCCCAGGACCCTGAGACCATGACCTGAGCCAAAGGCAGACGCCTAGTTAACTGAGTCACCCGGGTGTCCCAAGAATACCAGGTTCACTTTAATATCAAATAGCAGCACCCCTCAGCTAACACCTGGGAGGCACACATGTTACTTCAGTTTATTCCTGCAAAGGGAGGCATGAGATGCTACCATCGCGTCTGTTTGCCAGATGGGCTAACGTTTAGAGAGCTTCGAAAACCTGCATCCAAGAGACAGAGCTGGGATTTGAACCAAAGGCCCTCGAACTGCTTCCCCACAGCTCCACAGTATTACATACATGCAACGGCCTTTCTCTAGGCCCTAGACCAAGAAGAGAAAGAAATCAATGCCCTATCTTTTAAAAGACGGTTCTCAAAGGTGCACACAGAAGCTTTATCATTTATTGTGAAGTAAAGCAAAGAATGAAGAGAACTTCCAAAGTTCAAGTACAAATAGAATCATTCCCCTTTCAGAAATAAAGACAAGGAAGCAGCTTGGCAAGACAGCAGGTCACCCTTACATGTTTACGCCATCACAAGAACCAGCCCAAGCAAAAGTTTATTCATAGCGGCCCATAGAACCTGTTATTGTAAATTACTAATATGTGAATCTATGTTTTTTCCTTTTCTTCGAAGATTTTATTTATTTGACAGACAGAGATCACAAGTAGGCAGAGAGGCAGCAGAGAGAGAGGAAAGGAGGAAGGCTCCCTGAGAAGCAAAGAACCCAATGCGGGGCTCGATCCTGGGAGTCTGGGATCATAACCAGAGCTGAAAGCAGAGACTTAACCCTCTGAGCCACCCAGGTGCCCCTAACATGTGAATCTATTAAGAGGATTATCCATCTTAATAAAAAAGAAAAGGAAGCCATCTCCATCCTTATAACTTTGTATTGAAACCTAGAAAGATAAAGAATAAAAAAAACAAAAAAATGTAAATAATTTTTCAACCTCTGAAAAATTTTGAATTTTCCAGACCTATGTGAAATGACTGAGATCGGCAATCCGTGCATGAGAGTCACGGAAGCAACAGCTTTGAGGGAGCCATGGAGGGTTTCCCCAGTGACTTCTATTTTAGAATAAACCAGAACATATCTGAAACCCAGAGTTTTACTTTTAAAGACAGTGGAGATGGAGAGGAGAAGGGAGTTGAGGGAAATTGGAAGGGGAGGTGAACCATGAGAGACTATGGACTCTGAAAAACAATCTGAGGGTTTTGAAGGGCAGGGGGTGGGAGGTTGGGGGAACCAGGTGGTGAGTATTGGAGAGGGCACGGATTGCATGGAGCACTGGGTGTGGTGCAAAAACAATGAATACTGTTAAGCTGAAAAAAACATTTTTTTTAAAGATAAAAAAAAAGAAAAAAATGGTCAAAACTTACAAAAAAAAAGAGCTTCATTTCCTCTTCTGGGGAAGGGTGTATAGAGTTTTTGGTTGTATACAGGATATTTGGGTCATATAAGGTGAAATTATGACAGTGCTATTTTCTTTATTTTCAGAATGAGTACAATTTAAGGAGATGCATATGGATGCCCATGTTTACAGAAGGTTGATGAGTGATGGTTAATTCTATGTGTCAGAGTGACTGGGACAAAAACATTGTTTCTCTGGGTGTCTGTGATGTTGTTTGTAGGTGAGATTGATATTTGCATCCATGGTCTCTGTGTACGTGGGCACCATCAAATCCATTAAAATTCTGTATAGAGTAAAAAATAAAAATAAAAATAAAGACAGTGGGTCTGGGAGTAATATACAATAAAAACCATGTCTTACTTTAATGAGATATTATGGTTGAGTCATTCATCCCAGCATGTCTTTGATTAGAGGGATCCTTAATTCTAAGAGTAGAGTGAATAGTAGGAAAAACTTGAAAATATGCCATCTCCCAGAAATCATCTAATACCTCTCTGGAAAACCATTCGTGAAGTAAGAAAACCATTTTGCTGACAAAAGAGGTTGCCGATCAGAGTTCACACCAGCTAGGTAACGAGATCCTTAGTTAGGAGAAAAGGCGCCTATTGTTCATGGCGTACACACCTCGTATGCCTCCATTCTCTGTAAAAAAAAATCTTCCTTTTCTGTTTCTCCTAGAGCCACTCTGTAAAGGAAATACAGAGATGTGTTTCTGGAAGTAACAGAGAATAAAGAATAAAGAATAAAATAACAGAGAATAAAAAAAAAAAAAAAAAGGAGGAGTTAGCATGTGGACCCCCAGTCCAGATGGTTTGTTTTATCAGTACACGGGTTCCAGGGGAGAACAAGCATGAAACAAGGCTCTTATTACAATAAACCACCATGTGTTTCTGAAGTTTGCTTTTAAGTCTCTCCTGCCCAGATTTACTGAAACCTGGAGCTTTGATTTACTCTGAGCATTTGACCAGGCAGGAGGGCGTGAGGGATCTACCAAACTTCTTCAGCAGGTGAGGGGATAGAAAGCTAGAACACCCCCACTCCCCTGTTTTGATGCCATAGTCCTCAGTCCTTGGAAACAATTCCCCTGCCCTTCCTCCTTCTCCATCCATCCTGTCTGATCACAGAGGGGTCTTATGCAGTTTTCCACTGCGGTCCTCATGTAAGGTAAGACTCTGAGACTCTAACGGACTCTGCTGCCTCCCTCTCTGTATAATCCCCCAAATGACTTGGTTTCCTGGGTGACCTTTCTTTCTCCTACATGGAAGTTACTCTGTGTGCCCATACGAACTAGAGTAAATACAGAGGACAGGCCACTCTAGATCACTACATGTCCAAAGGCTCTCTAACCAAGTAAAATATCAGATATTCCCTTGCTTGTCGTGAAACACAGTGACTAGACCCCTATTCTATGCTCTATGCTCAGAGAAGACTGTCCGGATATGATCAGCAAGGATGACTCACAGACAGCAAAAACCCTTGCAAATAAAGAACTCTATTGAGACAGACATTTGCAATGCCAAGTAAGCAGGTTTATTGAGAAAATACAGAGTGAGACAAGTTCCCTTCCTCAGAGGCACAAAAGCAGAAGCCAGAAGACACAGCAGCAAGGTCAAAACATGTCAAAACCACCAGAGACAGGGGTTTGGGAAGTAAAGTTTCTGGAAACATCCAGAGACATATGCGACACCAGTGATCAACCCTTAAACTAAGCTTGGTGCTAGCCAGAAAGATCATCGATTGCCAGAGGCAGCTTCTTCAGAGCTAGCGGCCAAGCAGTCAGGCAGTCAGAACAGTGGTCAGCAATGAAGAGTTGTTCAGGGACAGGCAGCACGCTGGACGAGCCTGGAAACACCGCTGGCAGGTCCTGGAGTCTTGATTCGCTCACTGGCTCCTACACACTTAGCAAGTTCTTCGACAGCTGGACATGCAGGACCGCTGGTACGTCCTGGAGACCCCGCAGGCTGGTTGGCAGACAGTGGAGACTCCTCCCATCGGTTGGCACCCAGTGGAGATGCCCCCCAGGGGTTGACAGCCACTGGAGACAAAGGTGAGTGGCCGGCTGTAGGTGGTTGAGCAAGGATTGGAGACACAGGTGGTTTGCCGAGAGCAGGTCACCTGTCCATGGCTGGAGACACAGGGATTGGACTGGTAACAGGTTGGCTGGCAAGAGTTGGACTCACAGGAGGACCCCTGGCAGTGGTCCAGGAGCCAGGAGCCAGTCTGGAAGGAACTGGGCAAATAGATACCACTCAGGCAGTCGGCATCTTGGGAAGAAGCTGTGGCAGCAGGAGCCACGGGGACAGTGCAGTGTCCTCCAATAGGCCTGGAAGAGCAGTTTCTTGTAGAACAGTTGTAGGACATGGTGCCAGACAGAGAGCTGCGGGTAACTTGCTGAAGCTAGCTGCTGAATTGTGAATGTCCCTTCAGGTCCCTGAGCTTTTATATATCCTTGCGGGTGGGTGGGGCTCCCGCCCTGGCCCGCCTGGCTTCTTTGGCTCAGACCAGCGTGCCTTAGAACATCTTGTGAATCTCTAGGTTAATTGTCTCTTGAGAAGCCTTCATCCTCATAAAGACAGTTTAGTAGTTTGGTAACTAAATCATAAGGCTTCTGTACTGTACTTAGTCCCAGGATTAAGGTTACTTGACAGCTTCAAAGCTATTGGTCATCCCAGCCCACACTTTGTCCCTCATTCATCTTGCTTGGATACAATGAGTGTCGATCTGACGGTAACCCCAAACATGCCACCATCCTGCCATCACACACTCTCTCCCCATTCTGACCAGGACTCGTTACAAACCCACACCCTGTTTTGCTTGTTGTCGGCACTTAATATGTTTTAAGCACAACTTAATCAGCCACTCTTCCATAGCTAACGGGGCTTCTCATGGGCAAGGAACCTCCTTGAATATGCTTCAGGGTGAAAATGACAACACCTGTCAGGAAACCAGAAACAAGGACTTATATTTAGGATATGAGCTGGCTCAGAAAATTAACCAAGTGACTGGAACAAGACACATTCAGGAAGGGTAGAGGGCAGTGGGACTCACACTTTATGTTCAAGCAGCAAAACAAATTAGAAGCTAACTTAGTGGGACTGTGTTTGTAGCCAAGTCCCTTTTTAAATAAATTGGATGAGCTTTATGCCTAAAATTTTTACTCCAATAACAATGGATAAGAGTGGTTCATAAGATTCATCAATATACCAGTGGAATGGGCTTAGTTAAATTTTAAAATTACTATAATGTTAATTTAAAAGGGTACATTGTCTTTCTCCCAAGATGTTCAATATAGTCAAAAGCTATTTTTTTTCCCACACAGACACTTACAGAAAGCATGCATTTTTATCACGGACTAACCAAAGGCTCTTGAAAGGATTGTCTACATCAGGGATAGGGGGAGGAGCACGTATGGAAGCAGGCACTTAATCAATATTTGGTTATGAATGAATCAATATGTGAACAGTGTACTATGATATTTAATTATTCTTTTTTATTCCTGGGGAAACCACATAAAGATATCATTCTCCTTTATCTCATTGTGCTACAAGACATCAATTCTGAACACCTGTATGACCAATTCTCTCCACCCACCTGTTCACAACCATGTTACCTCTGGCAAAATAATTTGCTTTAGCATAGTTTAAATGGTCAGTGATGTTTCTATATCAAAACAGCTGTAAGATCTGACTCCTGTCGTAAACTTGCTTACATGGGATAGGAGAGAGGGACAATCATGGATTTACATATCTTTGAGAGCGAGACAGACAATGTTTTAGACATCCGTAGAGCAAACAGCTTTTTTAGAACTCTTTGGAAGTCCCTCTGCAAAATGCTCCATCCATCTCTGTTCATTACACTGAAGCCATATCAGAAGCTCCCCAAGTTTCTAATTGGAAGCCAGTAACACACCCAAACAAGACAGTGTTGTGCTGTGGGCTGTATTATAATTCCCAGGGATCAGACCACCTCTCCCTCAGTGACTCGCAGCGTGTTCTCAGGTAGAGGGAGAAATTAACAAGATGATTGCTTTCCACAATGTTATAACTACACTCTTCCCACCACAAGGAATGTCCCAGTTAGTGTTTGAAGGTTGGAGTCCCTGGTCACAGGGGCTGGCTTGCTTGTTTCAAATGGATGAGTGGTTTACAGGCTTCTACCAGCTATGAATTCATTGCCTGCTATGGAAAAGTACTTAATGATGCAAATTAATCAAGTGACAAAAGCAAAAAGTAGAGTCGGTAGTAAAGTTACACATAAGTTTGCAGTACCCATTGCCACATTTCTGAGATGGTAGAGATGTTTATGTATCATTACTCTGTCTTGAGTTCTCTTTTCCACTGCAAGTTGAAAATTGCACATAAAAGGATCTTAGAAAATATCTTGCATCAGCTTCAGGAGAAAAGGAAATGAACATTTTTGTGTGTGCCTGACCCTCTTCCAGGCGTGGAGTTAGAGGCTCTCCATTCTCCATATTAAATGCTTCCAGCAACCCCATGGAGTAGGTGTCATGTCACACAAAGGAGCTAAAATTCAAGGAGGTTGAATGGCTCGCAAAGCTCATGCAGTTTATATTTGACTAAGTTGAGATTCAAATAAGACAGAGCCATGAACTATCAACCTGCATTGGGTATATTTAAACATGATGAGATGTCTTCATTAAAGCTCCAGCAGAAAGTTCTAAAAAGAATCAATCGACGAGGGGCGCCTGGGTGGCTCAACGGCTTAAGCCTCTGCCTTCAGCTCAGGTCATGGTCTCAGGGTCCTGGGATCGAGACCCGCATCGGGCTCTCTGCTCAGCAGGGAGCCTGCCTCCCCCTCTCTCCCTGCCTCTCTGCCTACTTGTGATCTCTCTCTCTCTCTGTGTCAAATAAATAAATAAAAATCTTAAGAAAAAAATCAATCGACGAATGTTCTATTAATGGTACTACAAAGAATGTAGTCTTCATTTCTCTTCCAGTTTCTCAATAACAAAAAAATAAAGCTTTTAAATCATAAGTTACAAGCACCGCTGTCCTTTTACTTCATGTGTTGCTTCATTTATATACCTTTGACAATTTTTACTTCATTAGAATGAAATGCAAGGTCACTACAAACAAAGCAGCAAGAGGCAGAGAGCCATCAATAGCTTGAAGCTACAATTTGAAATTATAATTATCTATTACAGTGAAGATAGACAACTAATTGTTCAACAACAGCAGAGAAGTGAAATGAGTTTTCAAGTTTAAGCTGCAAGACCTTTCTGAAAAAAAAAAAAAAAAACAGAATTCACAAACTCTGAGATCACTTTAAAATGATATTTCATGAGTATTCTTCTTCCAGTCACAAAGTACCCCAAAACCAGTTATTTCATTCAGCAGTTAAATCTAAGGGATCTACTCAACAGATTGCTTTCTATTTGACACCAGTAAAATGGCAGGCAGGCTCTCTGGGAAACAGCATAACTATCCATCCTAGAGGGAGGAAAACTGCTAATACCCTCCTGCATTCTATTTTGAAATGCAAGCATATAGAGGCAGGTTTTGATTGACTGTAAGTTGCAACAATGTAGAAATTCACACTGACAGCCCTGGGAAGCTTGAAGAAACTTACAACCCTGTTAAATGAAATCAACAGATCATCTATTCAATGGAATGTAAAGGATCTGGCCAGCAGGTATCACCACATAGCTACATGCAACATGAAGCTTTAACTCCATGAAAAGCCTTATGAAGTTTATCCTCCAGTCTGCAGAGGGTGAAGTGAGGGAGGTGTGGTGAGAGCCAGTGGGGAGAGATTAAAGACCTACTACCCATTATCTTCATCACTGACGGATAATTTGCTCTCGTTTGTAAGGAACAATCTAAGCCTTATACAATAATTATCACAGGCTGCAACTGAGCAATTCTTTCATTCAAAACTGAATCATAGCAATCACTTACACAGCCAAGCCTTTGAGAATAAAATGAATTAAGCATGTGTGGGAGGCTGAACGTTTGATATGCAAGAAGGATATTATTCATCACAAAGTTGGTAATAATGTTGACCAATGCCAGTTCAAAAAACCCACTTAGTCTCATCAAATGGAAGAAGAGAGAACTTGCTGAAAAATTAATGAACATAAAATGAGATTTTGTCATTCTGTATTTTTCCAGGATATTCATACTCTCAAAATAAAGCTATTCATTATCTCTTAAGAAATATAAAAAAAAAGGAACTTAAAATTTAAGCACAGAACATAATGGTTGTTTTAAAAATTAAATACATCTTGGCTGAATTGTTCTCTCTCTCTCTTTTTTTTTTTTTTCCACTTCACACAAACCTCTGGATTGGATCTCCAGAATCCTTATTAACCAAGACATTATAAACCCCCAAAGGCTGTGTGATTTGCACCACAAAACTGAACTGAAATTTATTTTCCAAACTATTTTCAAAAAGCATTAATCATGGACGGTTTGAGTCTTTGGGGCTGGAGGCAACTGGAAGGAAGAAAGAAGAAGGTGAAACACGAAGTTGCTGCTTTTAGAACTTGAAAATACCAGTCACCAGCTACACAACGTCTATAAAAATAAACCTTCCGAGGGTAGTGTCAAGGTTGAGAAATCCTAGATTAAATTGCCTTCTCTTTCTCCTGATGCCTGTTTACAAGTTCGTGTAATTTTTCATAGGTGCACTGGAGATCAATATCAGGGTGTTGTCAATAAAAACAAGCAGAATCCCAAGTTGGGGGCCACAACAAACTGTCATGTGGGAAAATCCGTGTGTATGCAGTTGGCGTTGCTCCGGTCCCCGTCTTTCAATATAAGAGGCAAATCCAGTTGTGATCAGACATGAGTCATGTTCATGTACAGGGCCTGAGAGAGAAGACTCCAAGTCATTCAAGATGTGTTATCCTTCCCTGATTCAGAATTGCTCAGGGCCTACTAGGTACCCAGCTTGGTCAGAATGCTAGCAGCGATGTAGGAGACAGAGGTATTAGATAGGTCAGCTCTCAACATCACCTAGCTGACCTGTTGTTGATAGGCAGCTCTCTCAGAGCTCCCCGAATTGGCCCCCCATTGGGCAGGGCAGGGCAGGGAGAGAGCAAAAAATGATGTACCCCACTCCAGGCTGGTCGGTGGCAAGTTTTAATGAGCAAAGGGAACTTATATACAAGGCTTGTCTCGGGCAGCCACAAGACAAATGGATCCCCGCATCCACCCACCAAATCTTAAAAGTTGATAAAGAGGCCTTAGCTGGGTTCTGTCACATGCATCGTGTAGGTGTTCTCAACACCATATCATTATCTCAAGCCTGTGTCCTTGAAGCAGCCTCTGGGAGCGGGAAAGGACAGTGGAACCCACATCAAGGGGAAGGGGTGAGGAGCCTCCAACAGCTCGAGTCCA